TTACACTAATAACAAGCTAGGGTAAAGTCCTACTGGATAAGCACTGAAGCTGGATGCAGCTTAGGGTAGTGAGACCATGTGGTACCCTAATACAAAACAAAACACTTAGGGTTACCCAAACACTGGCAACTACTACCCCCAGGTCTCACCAATCGTTACTACCAGAGTAGGTACACTTAGAAATCATACAATACTTAACTTAATGGTACAGGAACTTAAGGTAAGGGAAATAAGTAAGAGGAGAAGTGAGGAGATTAGGGGTGCAGCCACAGAGTAGGTCTCGTCCGCACGAACGCCAGCCAGAGAAGAACCTCCTAGCGACCAGCTAGGCCTCCCATGTCGTGGTGCCGGAAGGAGCCTAATTGATCGTGCAGCTAAGCACATTAAAGATCTTCCCCTATGCAACGTATTGTTACTTTACAAATGATTAGAAAGTATTAGTAAGCAAAGTTGGTGCCTATGTTATTATTTAATAATCAACCCCCAGCTCAGTCTTTAAATGCTCTTTGAGAAACAATAATAGTCTTACGACTGGCAGGGAAGATACAAACAATTGCCGCTCGCGATGCACTCAACTGTACTACCAGAAAGTTTAATAGCTCAATTTTGACCTCTGGTTTCCACTGGAGAACCCAGGGTCGTAACAATGTCTATGAAGGGAAAAATCATCAGGAGGAGTTGAATCCAAAGGTTGGAGGTCAAAGTATTTAGTCCATGTATCAGGACCAAACAAAGCATGGTCAACGAACAAAGTAGGATGGGAAGGGAGCATACGAGAGCGGCCATGGCGGGGACGGCGATGAGAACCCTTAGAGAGAGACGGGTCGAAAGGTGCAGTAGTCACAAAGGATGGAGCCGTGCAAGGGGACGAGACAGTCACCACAGCAGGCTTGGGGCTCGACCCAACCACAGAGGAGCGAGGGGAGCAGGGAGGAAGAGTCCGGTCTGGGCCTAAACTAGGTTCTGTAGTGGGAGCTACAGATCCCGGTCTTCCAGGACGGCCCGACTCAGGGGCCTGGTCGCCCACCCCATGAGCCTGGGTAATAGAAGGCAAGTCGTTATCCATACAGCAAACCAAACAAAAAAAGAGATAGGACCTGGAACCAAGGGATACCACCTACCAGGGCAGCCAGGGAGGCCGAGCGCGGGCCAGTGCAGGAAGGGTGTGTCGTCCCCAGCGGTGCTCCCCCTTTTCAACAGGGGAGTCCTACTACTTCGTTCATTCTCCCACACTGGTGCTAAGACCCCAGTCCCCCAATCGCCCCAGCCTGGACACCCAACCATCCACTCAGGGCGGCCTCTCACAGGCGACCCCTCCAGCGGGTGGTCCGATGGCTCACAAGGCCCCTACATGGTGCTCTTCAGCACGTACACCACCCAAAGAGGGGGCAAAGGCAACCCACACCGGTCCCAGGGAGGTGTACGTGAGCCCCTCACCACGACAAGGAGGCACCACGGAGGGGCATCTTTTCTCAATCTTCGGCGGCTTTATTCACAATTATTAAACAGTTAATGAGCTCCGAAGCACCAGGAGGCTGTTTATAACAATAACAACAGTTGATTGGCAAGTTTTCATGGTTGTAAACTGTTTAATAAATGTAACCAAAGTCGTCAAAGATTGAGGAAAGATGTACACGTTCGTAAGTGCTTGCGTAACTGCTTCATGAATCTGGCCCCAGGACGGTGCTTTAATGCTGGGAACATCAGGAGCATTGTCGGCAACACTGCTCCTGATCCTTCAAGAGCAACTGGTATGGAAACCGTGGGAGGAAACGTGTGTATTGTATGTATGTATGTATGTATGTATGTATGTATGTATGTATGAAAGGGGTTGTACTGCATGGTTGTGAAACATTGCAATACACTTACTCACTACGTTTTCACTTTACTTCAGGAGCAATTAGGCATGCACTTTTCATGTTATTTAAGGGCCAAGTGGTACACAGCCTACTTACATGTACACTTTTGTTCAGCCTGCTTGCATGTGCTCATAAGGTCAGCCTGCTTGCATAGACTCATAAGGTCAATCTGCTTGTATGTACTCATATGGTCAGCCTGCTTGTATGTACTCATAAGGTCAGCCTGCTTGTATGTTATAAGGTCAGCCTGCTTGTATGTACTCATAAGGTCAGCCTGCATTATGTACTCATAAGGTCAGCCTGCTTGTATGTACTCATAAGGTCAGCCTGCTTGTATGTTATAAGGTCAGCCTGCTTGTATGTACTCATAAGGTCAGCCTGCATGTATGTACTCATAAGGTCAGCCTGCTTGTATGTACTCATAAGGTCAGCCTGCATGTATGTTATAAGGTCAGCCTGCTTGTATGTACTCATAAGGTCAGCCTGCTTGTATGTACTCATAAGATCAACCTGCTTGTATGTACATATAACGTCAAACTGCTTGTATGTACTCATAAGGTCAGCCTACTTGTATGTACTCATAAGATCAACCTGCTTGTATGTACACATAAGGTCAAACTGCTTGTATGTACTCATAAGATCAACCTGCTTGTATGTACTCATAAGATCAACCTGCTTGTATGTACACATAAGGTCAAACTGCTTGTATGTACTCATAAGATCAACCTGCTTGCATGTACTCATAAGATCAAACTGCTTGTATGTACTCATAAGATCAACCTGCTTGTATGTACTCATAAGATCAACCTGCTTGCATGTACTCATAAGATCAACCTGCTTGTATGTACTCATAAGATCAACCTGCTTGTATGTACTCATAAAATCAACCTGCTTGTATGTACTCATAAGATCAACCTGCTTGTATGTACTCATAAGATCAACCTGCTTGTATGTACACATAAGGTCAACCTGCTTGTATGTACTCATAAGATCAACCTGCTTGTATGTACTCATAAGATCAACCTGCTTGTATGTACTCATAAGATCAACCTGCTTGTATGTACTCATAAGATCAACCTGCTTGTATGTACTCATAAGATCAACCTGCTTGTATGTACTCATAAGATCAACCTGCTTGTATGTACTCATAAGATCAACCTGCTTGTATGTACACATAAGGTCAAACTGCTTGTATGTACTCATAAGATCAACCTGCTTGTATGTACTCATAAGATCAACTTCTGGAGGTCTCCTGGGGCCAGGCCATCTACACGCTACAGGGTTCAACCCACTATTACTGTCAATCTCCTGAGAGTTTATTTCATTTCTGCTGGGAAAACAGAGGTATGAAGTGAAAGAAAACGTGCCCAACCGTCTCCGTCCTGCCAAGGGAATATAACCAGGGCTCTTCAGCTGTGAGCCGAGGACGGAGACCACCGTGTGATTCAGTACCAGATCCGGACTTTGAGGAACTCCTGCCAGTCTAGCTGGTAGGACATCAGGCAGTTATTTGGTTTTTTTTTGTTTCTTGAAGGTAAGTCAATCAGTTTATTCAACACTCAGCTGGAGGTCATTAGTTATTGGATGCTGCTCATCCCTGACGCCTGGGATGACTGATATATTTTGGCATTAGGAGTGATGGTAAATTAGACACTGCTGAATGGGGTGATATCGTTCTCATTGAGTCACTGTTGACGAGACCGCCCAGTTTTCTACCATTCTCAGCGGTGAATTTTAAAGAAAACGAACTTATTTAATTTTATGAGTAACTATTGTATTTACCGGAATGTTCAAACATTTACTAATACTATAGTGAAGTATCAATATGTTGATTGGTTCCTTGTTTGTGAAGATGCTAAATTTTCCAGGCATAGTTCTGTTTCTCATTAGACGAAAATATAACTGAACATTAAATTAACCGACATTTTGTTAGTTCAACTAAACCTTGGCTAATGTAGCGGGAACCACATTCAAAAAGCCCGCCAAGTGAAGTATTTCATATCAGCTGTGTCCTGATTGGTGGACGAGGTGACCGTTCCCCCGCGCAGATCGCCCGCGCAGGTCGCCCGCGCCACTGCCAGTATAGTACTGTTATACGCAACTATAGGCAATCACTATTAACTGGTTAAAATTGTGCTTACCACGAAAGGTCTCTTCCAGGGCGCTCTCTCACGATATCAACATAACTCCACTATGGGCTCACCATAGCCCGTGCTACTTGGAACTTTTTGCTAAAGGTAGCGAATCTTTAACAACATCATCTCTCACGATGTAGGGGTTCCTCTCTAACAGGAGCTCAACGGGGCGCGACTTCCCCTCACAATGTCTGGTGCTCAAGTGACCTCAACGTCCTCAGAAGCGAGCCTCACGCCCCCAGCAAACTCTCCACATCTTGTGATCAGTCATTTATTTACATTCTTGATCACTGTCCATACTCCTAAAACTGGCTCACAAATCTAACCAATTATTTTACGTGTGTATCTCCATGTCGTATTTCTTTGACCTCTTATTTAGATCAGATCTTGCAGAATAACTCTCAAGGTAGACTCGTTTTTCAGCTCCCTGGGATCATAACAATATGAGTCATTATCCCTCCTTTAATATACGTGTATGTATGTATGTATGCATGTATGTATGTATGTATGTATGTATGTATGTATGTATGTATGTATGTATGTATGTATGTATGTATGTATGTATGTATGCATGCATGCATGTATGTATGTATGTATGTATGTATGTATGTATGTATGTATGTATGTATGTATGTATGTATGTATGTATGTATGTACGTACGTATGTACGTACGTACGTACGTACGTACGTACGTACGTACGTATGTATGTATGTATGTATGTATGTATGTATGTATTTATGTATGTACGTATGTATGTAAATAAACACTCTTCAGGTAGGCTTGACTCGCCGTAACAGACCATATCTTTATCTCTCCTTCTCCCTCCCTCCCTCACCCCTCACCCCCCCCCCTCCCTCACTCATCTCACTCTCTCACTTCTTCTCTCTCTCATCCACTCAATTTCCAAGTTATTTACCACAAATAATAATAATAAATCATTCAATAATCCCTCATAGTGTTCTTACTCAGAGGCCCAAGGGGGGGGGGTAGAAATATTACTAGCATATTCTTACTAGTTCTTTATTCACCGTTCACATGTTCTCTTTACGTTATTGTTGTTCTCTGCATGTTCACTTTATGTCCCTTTGCGTGTTCTATGTGTTCATCATCTGCTCTTAAATGTTCTCTGTATTTCTTTAAACAAAATGTTCAATTACATCTTTATACAGTAATTAGTTCTGTGTTACATATTATCAACAGCATTACTGTTTCTCAATAAAGTTAATTATTTATTTATTTATAATTTATAATTACAACAAAGACTTAACTCTGTATTACAAAGTATTTATTTTAGCTACAAATTATTTTAGTTACAAATTATTTTAGTTACAAATTATTTTACTTACAAATTATTTTAGTTAAAAATTATTTATTACAAGGCATTTATTTAATCATTTACAGAGATTTATTTTTTTAAATTCTGACAATGTATTTCTCTTTAACAACCTAATTTTTCTCACTTACACTGTTCTTAAATAAAAGTACCCTTTATGCAGTAACAAATATACTAATACTTTCTTTTCCTGCCATATATTAACTAAAAATACAATCGAAAATAGTTTAAGGCATCATCTTGACATGATTTCTCAACTAACAATACTCTTTCGTAAAGTAAATTACTGTAGGTAACTTCTTCACAAAAGTTTCTTAACAGAAATATTCTTCGTACATCAAAGGGAACATTCTAAGACATCTTTATGCTTCAAATGATGTATGTTTGTGTATAGTGTAGTGTGTATACGTACCAGTATACACACTACACTATTATTATACGTTATACACTACACGTATTTATTATACGTGTGTGTACAGTGCATGGTGTATGTGTGTACTGTGTACTGTGTATATGTGGCATAATAAGATGATATTACAAATGCGAAGCAGCAAAACTCATGATATTTTAACAGTAAAAATAAATGTCAAATTATTTTCCCAAAATTCCTTGGCTATTGTCATCAGATCCTTCAAATAAAATCAATGGAATGAAATCCTTCCTACGACGTGTGGGTCGTCCAGACAAGGCGACCCCAAGTCGTACTGCTTGTGTACAGGAGCCTGGTGGATGACGGAGTCGTAGTCGGGCGGGTCGTTGGGGACACACGCTGCTTGCGAGACGGCCGAAGGGGACGACCACGAGGCCTTCACACAAGGGTGAATGGCCGGCTCGTCATTGACACTTGTCGAGCGTGTTAGGGCCTCTCCTGCAGGCACTCCTGCAGGAGTCCCCGCACCGCTGAAGTTGCTGGATCCGTTTTCTCTCACTAACTATAAGAGAGAGAACGAAAAGAGTATATAAATACATGGGTGACTATATCGAAAATTATTAAAAAGATGGTCAATCTATAATAATTTATTAAAAAAGATGAAATGTTAAATGAAAAGAAATAAGGAAAGCTAAAAGTACATATAGCAGAGCAATTAAAAACAATCCTAAAAATTGTCTAGATACATTATACAAAGATTAGGGACAAAACTGGGCCATTGAAAATTTGAGAGACAGGTCAAGGAACTAACAGTGACAAAGCAATAGCGGATATTTTAAATAAGTATTTTCTCCCTTGTAGGTATTAGAGACAACTTTACAGGGTGCTGGCCTGGTATATATTCACTGTTATGTGAATATCTAACATGAGGCTTATAAATAGTATTAAATTATTAGATTTATTATTATTATTATTATTATTATTATTATTATTATGGATCCTCCTGGGGAAGAGACACATAGGCTCCACACCAGCCATGTATATAAAGTGTTGTATTGCAGGAATTATAAATCTATGAGAATTTGACTCATGTTAACAATTACACGATTTTCATCATATATCCTCTTATAAACTGTATTAAACATTAAATTCATTTATTAGCTGATTTCTGTGTACCAGATCAGAAGCTGGTGGATAGATTGTGCTTTTCTAAGATCATCTTTCTGTTATTCCCCTACGATTATGGGGATAACAGTATCCCCTGTTATCTCCCTACAATTACCAGGGTATCCCCTTACAAATACCACAGCTGTTATCTCCCTACAATTACCAGGGTATCCCCTTACAAATACCACAGCTGTTATCTCCCTACAATTACCAGGGTATCCCCTTACAAATACCACAGCTGTTATCTCCCTACAATTACCAGGGTATCCCCTTACAAATACCACAGCTGTTATCTCCCTACAATTACCAGGGTATCCCCTTACAAATACCACAGCTGTTATCTCCCTACAATTACCAGGGTATCCCCTTACAAATACCACAGCTGTTATCTCCCTACAATTACCAGGGTATCCCCTTACAAATACCACAGCTGTTATCTCCCTACAATTACCAGGGTATCCCCTTACAAATACCACAGATGTTTTCTCAAATTCTTCTTCGGGAATTTTTAAAATCAGTGTGTTTTTAATATCAAGATTTATCCAAATGTTACATTGATATTAAACTGTTTTGGTAATTGAGGAATTTTGTTGAAGTTATCATGAAATGGGACAATTATTTTATTCTTTCTTTTTCAAATTATATATTATACTCATAAGAGGGAATTGCCCATTGTTCATAAGTATTATGAGTAATATGACTAGATAAAACAATTAAAGACTTTGGATATTCTCAATTGAAACCTAGAATATATATGGCAGTAATCTCATCATCTATAATCTCAGGACTACATATACTAAAGAGCCTTCAGAAGCCTTGGTGAAAATACATATTGTTGTACTCTTTGATGATGAGCTGAGTAAAAGTGTACATAAGAACTAACATTTGTTGGTTTTCAACATTTAGAAAACTTGAAAAAATTATTTTCGCAAATTTAAATTAAAACATCTATGAATTATAACGAATTATTTTATTTCCATTGTAAACGGATTGGGCTAAATTATTTAAATGTAATAAAACTGTGTTTAGATTTCTGTTCTTAGGCCTGACAGCTGAGTAGACAGTACTCGGGATTCGTAGTCCTAAGATTCCGGGTTCGATCCTGAGTGGATTCGGAAACAAATGGGCAGAGTTTCTTTCACCCTGATGCGCCTGTTCACATAGCAGTAACTAGGTACCTGGGAGTTAGACAGCTGCCACGGGCTGCTTCCTGGGGGATATGTAACAAAAAGGAGGCCTGGTCGAGGACCGTATCTTCCAAGTATGTGATTCGCCGCTTTTCTAGAGAGTAATATTTTGAGAGCTTTTAGACTGTCCCAACAGTACAGGTGTATTATTGGGACGATGTGTAGTGTATATGTACTTTGTATTCCATCTATTTCAGAACTTTCTCCTTTGAAAGGGAAAGTGAGTACTGAACAGTCCTCAAGCAGCATCCCTGACGTTGAACGATGTCATCATTTTCCTGGCTGGTGCAATATTTGCTTGGTTATGTTCACTAAACGTTAGGACATTATTATTCCCAGATCCTGTACATGATGTGTTCCTTCTATGGGTAGATCTTATTGTGTCTCAGTTGTGACCTGTGTTTCGTTGAAGTTCTTTATTTTTTATGGAATTTATTACAGTTAAACGTCGTTATTTTCAATTGTACAGACGAAAACTTTATTGATATCCGCCTGTAGTTGTTGCATGCGAAGAGTCACAATAACGTGGCTGAAATATGTTGACCAGACCACACATTAGAAAGTGAAGGGACGACGACGTTTCGGTCCGTCCTGGACCATTCTCAAGTAGATTGTGAATCGACTTGAGAATGGTCCAGGAGGGACCGAAACGTCATCTCTTCACTTTCTAATGTGTTGTTTGGTCAGCCTGTAGTTGTTCACTGTCTTCAACAGAGATATTCTTCATGGTGATTTTTGTATGGTCCCTGAAGAATGACACAAAGCGGTGACTTGAATTTTTGTCTGATGTAAGAATGAAAAATGATATCTGATGTAAGAATGAAAAATGATATCTGATGTAAGAATGAGAAATGATATCTGATGTAAGAATGAGAAATGATATCTGATGTAAGAATGAGAAATGATATCTGATGTAAGAATGAGAAATGATATCTGATGTAAGAATGAGAAATGATATCTGATGTAAGAATGAGAAAAGCAGTGGCGCAAGGACTCTGCCCTGAGGTACAGAGCTCTTGACGGTCCTGAGACTTGATTTTGTCGGCTGTTACTGTTTGCAGTCTGATTAACAGGAAATTAAATAACCTTTGTCCTACTTTAACTGCTATTCCTATTGATCTCACGCCATGGGCTCTTATTCATCAAATAACTTTACATTGAAGTTTGTTGAGCCTGAGATTCTTAATGCCTATTGTGTGTATTACACGGGAATCTTTTTTAACAAATGTACTTTTTAAAACATATAAGTTTGTTAGGTATTTTAGGAATATATTGTGGCTGGTTCAGAAGTATTGTTTCAAATATTTATATATTAATATTGCACTTATTTGCCAAAAGTACATAATTTACTTATATTTCGAGCTATTTTAAAGTATTAACTTATAGATTGGCAGATTTATTAATTATTAGTTTAAACAAGTTAATACAAAAATGATTTTAAACAGAAACAAACTTAGGAACATAAACTATGGCTAACTCAGCTACAACTTTAACTTCTTGACTATAACTATAGCTTCTTAGCTGAATTATAACTTCTTGATAGTTAAGGCAAGTTAAAAATAGTCTTAATGCTTTCTGATAGTAAATACTAAGCCTAAACAAATTAGTAATCACTGTAAACAATATAACAACATCATTAGGCACAGACCAACTCTGATGTAGATATGATAACTCAATAAAATCGGTCTGGGTATTAAGAAAACCAGCCGTTGTCTACTTGACCTTAGTAGTGAGGTTCTGGCTTCTGGCAAGAAATATAAAAATATATTATGCAATAAATTAATACATGATCATTGCCACTGTAAACTTTCACTTATGTAGGATACATACACTAACACACACACCATCCAGCTCCAGACCTTTCAGGGCATTGGGAGGTCCTGAGCTAAGTGGTTTGGTTACAGTTCAAGTTTTCAGGGCATTTGAGTCCTTGGGTTTGAGGGCATTATCTACAGTCACCTACAGTTTTGAAGGCATTTACACCTATAGTTTTGAGGGTATTTACACCTATAGTTTTGAGGGCATTTACACCTATAGTTTTGAGGGCATTTACACCTATAGTTTTGAGGGCATTTACACCTATAGTTTTGAGGGCATTTACACCTATAGTTTTGAGGGCATTTACACCTATAGTTTTGAGGGCATTTACACCTATAGTTTTGAGGGTATTTACACCTACATTTACATTTACAGGAGCCGGTCGGCCGAGCGGAGAGCACGCTGGACTTGTGATCCTGTGGTCCTGGGTTCGATCCCAGGCGCCGGCGAGAAACAATGGGCAGAGTTTCTTTCACCCTATGCCCCTGTTACCTAGCAGTAAAATAGGTACCTGGGTGTTAGTCAGCTGTCACGGGCTGTTTCCTGGGGGGTGGAGGCCTGGTCGAGGACCGGGCCGCGGGGACACTAAAAGCCCCGAAATCATCTCAAGATAACCTCAAGATAACCTACCGTTTTGAGGGCATTTACACCTACCGTTTTGAGGGCATTTACACCTGCCATTCTCAGGGCATTTACACCTACCGTTTTGAGGGCATTTACACCTACAGTTTTGAGGGCATTTTCACCTATAGTTTTGAGGGCATTTTCACCTATAGCTTTGAGGGCATTTTCACCTATAGTTTTGAGGGCATTTACACCTATAGTTTTGAGGGCATTTACACCTATAGTTTTGAGGGCATTTACACCTATAGTTTTGAGGGCATTTACACCTATAGTTTTGAGGGCATTTACACCTATAGTTTTGAGGGCATTTACACCTACAGTTTTGAGGGCATTTACACCTATAGTTTTGAGGGCATTTACACCTATAGTTTTGAGGGCATTTACACCTACAGTTTTGAGGGCATTTACACCTATAGTTTTGAGGGCATTTACACCTATAGTTTTGAGGGCATTTACACCTATTGTTTTGAGGGCATTTACACCTATAGTTTTGAGGCCATTTACACCTATAGTTTTGAGGGTATTTACACCTATTGTTTTGAGGACATTTACACCTACAGTTTTGAGGGCATTTACACCTATAGTTTTGAGGGCATTTACACCTACAGTTTTGAGGGCATTTACACCTATAGTTTTGAGGGCATTTACACCTACAGTTTTGAGGGCATTTACACCTACAGTTTTGAGGGCATTTACACCTATAGTTTTGAGGGTATTTACACCTATTGTTTTGAGGGCATTTACACCTATAGTTTTGAGGGCATTTACACCTATTGTTTTGAGGGCATTTACACCTATAGTTTTGAGGGCATTTACACCTATTGTTTTGAGGACATTTACACCTACAGTTTTCAGGATATTTACACTTACATTTGTCAAGGCTTTTGAAGATTGCATGGAGTAGTGGTGAAGCTGTTGTCCACCTGAGGGCGAGGTAAAAACCGAGTCAGTTGCAGACGAGGAGTCACAATAACGTGGATGAAATGTTGACCAGACCACACACTAGAAGGTGATGGGACGACGACGTTTCGGTCCGTCCTGGACCATTCTCATGTCGACAATTGACTTGAGAATGGTCCAGGACGGCCCGAAACGTCGTCGTCCCTTCACTTTCTAGTGTGTGGTCTGATCAAGTGAGTCAATTGCAATGTCATTCACAGTTCATCATGAAAAAAGCTGTTTGCTTTTTACATTTATAGTTATATTATTATATATAAGTATTAGTTAGTATAAATTACTGGTTAGATAAGCGTGTGAGAAAACTGTGTTTTGTATGAAAAATAATATATTTTCCAAAATATAATCTAGAATTTTTTCTAGAATAAAAAGGCATCACCTCTAGTTATTAGTACGTTATAGTTTGTAATGACTGTCTATATATATATTATATATATATATATATATATATATATATATATATATATATATATATATATATATATATATATATATATATCGTACCTAGTAGCCAGAACGCACTTCTATGCCTACTATGCAAGGCCCGATTTGCCTAAAAAGCCAAGTTTTCATGAATTGATATATTTTCTCTAATTGTTTTCTTATGAAAAGATAAAGCTACCCATTTCATTATGTATGAGGTCAATTTTTTGTTATTGGAGTTAAAATTAACGTAGATATATGACCGAACCTAACCAACCCTACCTAACCTAACCTAACCTATCTTTATAGGTTAGGTTAGGTTAGGTAGCTGGAAAAAGTTAGGTTAGGTTAGGTTAGGTAGGTTAGGTAGTCGAAAAACAATTAATTCATGAAAACTTGCCTTATTAGGCAAATCGGGCCATGCATAGTAGGCATAGAAGTGCGTTCTGGCTACTAGGTACGACATATATATATATATATATATATATATATATATATATATATATATATATATATATATATATATATATATATAAATATATATATATATATATATATATATATATATATATATATATATATATATATATATATATATATATATGTATGTATGTATGTATGTCGTACCTAGTAGCCAGTGCGCTCTTCTTGGCGTACTATGCAAGGCCCAATTTGCCTAATAGGCCGAGTGATTTTCTTTATTTTCAATAAATTGTTTCGTATTGGTTTATTTTAAATATTATTATATTATATTAAGAACATAAATTATTGATTTAGTTATGTTAGGTTAGGTTAGGTAGGGTTGGTTAGTGTGGGGAAAAATTCCAGGCAGCTAATCTCTCTTTTTCAAATTGATTTAATAAAATAAAGTTATGTCTTATTTATTTTCTTAGTAAGTAAGTATTAATTAAGTGGACTGTATGTACTGGTAAACTGCCTGAAATCTTCTTACACACTATTGGGAGGGACAATTGGTAGCTTAAACCACTTTGTTATGGTCCCTTCTTAAACTACCAATTGTTTACCTTTAAAACTATTATTTCAGTTATTTCATTATAAGTAATTAATTATAACTACTGCTACTGCTATAATGTCTTAGCTGTGCCAGTAGAATGGGCCTAGTAAGGCGTGTAGGTGTAGCCTCAAGATGGGTGTGGCCCTGCCTCTTTGTGCCACGTAATGGCGGCTGGAGGGAAGGACAAGGCTTGGCAAACAAGTAGTTAATTATGTGTATGAACCAACTGTCTGCTCAGATTCTTGAAGCTCCTCTCACAATTTACCTGTATGGGATGCAAGGAATTAATCAAAGTTCCCTAAACATATCAATTACAGGTATGACATGAACTGTGAGGGTGGTAATGGGGTACACGTACGGTGTTTTTGGGGATGTCCTACGACATAACCATCTACATATTTATATTAAACAGTGCACTTGAATAATAAACAATACTTGGTAGACGGATACAGATGTCGTTGTGATGTTGTTAGGCTGTGTGGCTGGTGTTGACACGTAAATGGGGTGTCTAGCTGTTTACACCAGTTAAGACAGCGTGGTAAGCTCATCCCATGTTTGTTGATATTTTTTTAGTAGTATGGACGCCTTCCTCTCCGGGGTGACGCTCTTATGCTCTGGTTCTCCACTCAAAGTAATTTTACATTAACAAGGGAACCTAGCTACTATTTGATGGAAATAATTATATTCATTCTTAGTGATTACTTTTTTATTAACTTTAGATACTAAACTAATCTATTAACAATGTTTCATAATGTAAATATACGATGACTTTGATGACGTCACGGAGTCGATGACGTCACGGAGTCTCCCATTTTCCATCCTGAAGGGAGTATAGACTAGGGGAGACTGTGTTATTTGTGTGTGTGTGTCGGTTTCCCGACATAATTCCCAGGGGCAGAACACGGGTCGAAGTCCCGGAAAGGACTGCGATCACTTTATTCTTCTCCCTCAGAATTATAGTGCTGCTTTAATTTGAGTTTACATTGTTGTGCAGCAGTCCGTTGGGGACGTATGTCCCGTACTGGCGTATCGGGTGCTGGAAGTCGTTGTACGTCTTCTTTCCTGGCCAGTTCTAAAGGTACTAATTTCTCTAAAGTTTTGAGAGTAGTGTTGCCTTTGCACTTTACTTTCACTATTCTCAAGATGCCCTGGCTGTCTGGATGAACAGAGACTATTTCTCCTATAGGCCACTCCGAGCGTGGTCCGTCACTATCCACCAGAACTATGTCACCAGGGTTCAAGTTAATTCTGTTATAGGGACTGTTTGCCCCGTAATGATACTCCCTCAGAGCTGTTAGGTATTCACGAGTCCATACGTCATTCCACCGACTTATCACCCCTGAAAGATGTTTGAAACGTTGAACCAAATCACTCTCTTTGACATATGAAGGATCCTCTGGTTCCTCATCCGTAAGGGACACAAGTGTTTTGAGAGGTCTCCCATACATCAAATGAGCTGGACTTAATGGTTCACGCTGCAAAGCATCATCAGAGAGGTAGGTAAGTGGTCGGTTGTTAACTCGTGCTTCTATTTCTATGATTACTGTTTGAAGCTCCTGAAGGTCAATCTTTTGGCGGTGTAGGGTTTTCCGTAAAGACCGTTTCACCGTACCAACCATCCGTTCATAGAAGCCTCCATGCCATGGTGCTCTGGGAGGTATGAATTTCCAATAGCACTGCCGTTGAGTTAGGGCTGTGCGTACCTTGGGGTGTGTCCAGATTTTCCTCAGGCATGCTTCTCCTGCCACCAAGTTGGACCCATTGTCTGAAATCATTAACTTGGGACAAGATCTACGTGAAGCAAACCTGCGGAAAGCCTGTAAGAATGCTTCGGCACTCATATCGGGAGTCACTTCTAGATGGACTGCCCTTGTTGTGGCACAAGTAAAAAGACAGATATAGGCCTTTACTGGTTTCTTGTCTTTAGTGCCTGTCAGTGTTAGTGCTCCTGTGAAATCTACTCCTGTTGTCTCAAAAGGATGAATATGTACGACTCGTTCCTTCGGAAGTGGAGGAGGGCCAGGATATGGACACACTCTGGCATCGTATCTCCGGCATACAACACAGGATTTGATTATGGATTTTACTGTCTGTCTACCTTGGGGTAGCCAGTACTGTTGTCTTAATTCTGTGAGAGTATCTAATACCCCACCATGCAGAGTGCAGTATTTGTGTATATGTAACACAATTAGTTTGCTTACTATGTGGTGACGAGGGAGCAATATTGGATTTTTTGCCTCCAGATCTATGTCAGCATGTTGTAAGCGTCCTCCGCATCTTATCAAGTTATAATTGTCAGTGTCTAACCAGAGACCCAGATCATGTTGTAGCTTCTTAGGAACATTATCAATTTCTGTCCCGAATGTGTCGGTCTGAGCTCTTTTAACCCAGTACCTTAAGGCACTAGGGAAATTATGCTTGATTCCTATTTTCTTTAGAAAATCAAACACTACTTGGGTGACACCTACAAGTTTGTTCAGTTCAGAGTACCGAGCAGGATCAATTACCAAAGTCTGAGGTAGTTCCGGGTTCTCAGTGGGAACAGTGACATTGGTCACAATGACTTGTGGCTTTTGTTCAGGCCACTGGTCGCTGATTAGCCACTGAGGTCCGTTGAACCACATCTCTGCCTTTGTTAATTGCCGTAAAGTCAGGCCTCGGGAGAGATAGTCAGCTGGATTCTCTTTAGTAGGTACATATCTTAGTTTATACCCTGCTGACAACTCTCGTATTTCCTTAACGCGGTTACTCACGTAAGGATTCTTACTGTTATTGTTTTTAACCCACTGCAGCACTGCCTCATTATCTGACCATACTACTGTTTCTGTAAAGTGGATGTGGCTTAAGGCCTTGATCAGATAATGAGCCAATCTTACACCTAGCAGTAAGGCTGTTAATTCCAGTTGTGGCAGTGATCTTTTCTTTAAAGGTGCCACTCTGGCCTTTGATGTGAGCAAATTGGCTTGCCCATGTGAGACCAGGTAAGCTACTGTACCATAAGCCTTTCCTGAGGCATCACAAAATACATGCAACTTAATTGGTTCCTTTTCATTTACTGTTGTGTTCCTAGGGAACTTGACAGACTCTAGGATACTTAAATCTTTCACTAACCCTTGCCATTTTTCTTGTAGGGTAGGTGTTAGAAGATCATCCCAGCCTATCTTTTGTTGCCAACATTCCTGTATTATCATCTTCCCATTAATTAGTATTGGACTTAATAAGCCTAATGGGTCGAAGGGTTTGCTGACTTGTGATAGCAATTTTCTCATTGTTAAGTTAGTGGTATCTGTCTCCACTGACTTGATTGTCAACTGATCGGTTGTCGTGTTCCATTGGACACCTAGTACCTTTGTCATCTCGGGTACTTGGTAGTCGGGAAATTCAGTTGTGATCAGTTGTTTTAATTTGTCATTGTTAGAGACCCAAGACTGGAGAGGCATATTGGCTCCCATTAATTCTCGATTGGCCTCATGGTATATGTCCAACAGCTTACTTTCACTGTTGGCTGTTCCTTGAAAGTTATCCACA